GCCCTGCCTTGCACAGATAAGTTAACCCTGAATGAAAGAACACAGCAGAGAGACTGGCTTTGGCTTAGGATGGGTTTGGGGAGCAGGGAATGTTGAGGGATAAATAATCACAAAGGTTGGGAGGCAGGAAGTTCTTCAGCCTATACTGCCTTCTTCTTAGCCTTGGTCAGAAGCCTGCCCCAGGAGAGATTGCCCAATTTTTCCTCAGTCCTTTCATTCTCTGGGTTAGTCATACAGTGTGATAATGTGGACTGGCTGAGACGTGGGTGGCTTCAGTAAGGGGGAGAGTGTCTCCCCCAAATTCTGCTACACCACCCAGAAACTGATTCTAAAAAGGCACTGTAGAAGAAGCCTCAGATTTCTACTTCCCTCCCCTAAACAACCAAACCTTGAGATGTATGGCAAGAGGTGGCATGTCTTTGGCAAGATGTCATAGGCTGATGTGGCAAGGGGAAAAGTGGGAGAACAGCCAAGAAGGTGTGAACTTCAGCAGACAGGAAAAAAAGAGGCCTGTGACTGGGGATGTGAAAGGAGAAAGGAGCGAGTGGGCATTTTAATTATTATTATTATTTAATTAAAATATTTTAACCATTTGTATTAAAATCATTTAAATCAGAATAGAGAAGAAAATGAATCTGATATAAGTATCATTTGGACTTAACAATAATTATTATTAATATTTACCATATTTAGGTCAGCTTTTTAGAAAGTATTTAAGATAATTTACAGATATAATGACATTAAACTCTTAAATATTTCAATATGCATTGCTAATAAAAACACATTCATACATAGGAAATAGAGTTAATAATATTGTAATAACTGTCCTGGCCAGGTAGCTCAGTTGGTTAGAGAGTTTCCCGATATGCTAAGGTTCTGGGTTTGATTCCCGGTAAGGGTACATACAAGAATCAACCAATGAATGCATAAATAAGTGGAACAACAAATCGATGTTTCTCTCTCTCTAAAAATCAATAAATGAAAATTAAAAAAATAATATTGTGATAACTATTGTCCATGTAAGAAATGTCCAAACCTGTAAAGAATTAAACATTTTTTAAAAGTTTTATTGAACTTATTGGGGTGACATTGGTTAACAAAATTATATAGGTCTCAAGTATACAATTCTACAATATATCATCTGTATATTGCATTGTGTTCACTACCCCAAGTCTTTTTCCATCACCATCTATCCCCCCTTTACTCCCTTCCACCCCCCTTTCCCTCTGATAAGCACCATACTGTCATCCATTTCTATAAGGTTTTTTTTCCCTTTGCTTAATCCCTTCACCTTTTTCACCCAGCCTCCCAACCTCCCTCCTCTGTGACAGCTGTCAGTCTGTTCTCTGTATCTATGAGTCTGCTCTATTTTGTTTGTTAGTTTATTTTGTTCATTAGATTCCACATATAAGTGAAATCATATGTACTTGTCTTTCTCTGATGGGCTTATTTTACTTATCATAATACTCTCTAGGTCCATCCATGCTGTCACAAAAAGTAAGATTTCCTTCTTTTTTATGGTCAAGTAATAGTCCATTGTGCAAATGTACCATTATTGCAATCTTGAGGGTGGTTTGCTTGAGGAATCTGAAAAGAAGCATTTCAAAAATCTGTCAACCCAGATGCATGAAAACAATGCACAGGGCTTGCTTAAGGCCAAGATAAGCCTTTTACTAAAAAAGTTATATGCTTGGGGCATGATTACCCACCATGACTTGTCCAGTTAGGAATTTATGATCAGACCACCCTGTGAGATTACTTTTGGTAGAATCTCTTTTTTGTCTGTACTATGTATGGTATCAGATGGGTACTGCACTTATCTGGATGATCACTTCATAAGGTATATATAAATGTTTAATCACTATGCTGTACACCTGAAATGAATATAATATTGTATGTCAACTATAATTGAAAAATGAATTTTAAAAAAATGTTCTGCTCTGGCCAGTGGTTCAGTTGGTTGGGATTTCATCTCATACACCAAAAGGTTGTGGGTTCGATTCCCGGTCAGAGCATATGCCTAGGTTTTGGGTTCGACCCTCTGATTCTCCAAAACATATCCTGGGGTGAGGATTAAAATGATTACCCCTCTAAATTAACAATCATTCCTTGATATCCTCTAATACCTAGTCCATATTCAAATTTTCCAAACTGTCCCCAAAATATCTTTTTACAGTTGGTTTGTTCAAAATAGGATCACATTGCATATGACTTTTGCCCCTTAAGTTTCTTTTAAGCCCTTCCCTCTTTTTCCATCATTGATTTGTTGAAGAAACAGTCACCCGCCCTGTAAAGTGTCCTACCTTTTGGATTTTTCTTATTTGTTTCTTTGTGTTTTCACTTATCTTGTTTCTCCAGTCCCTGTATTTTCTGCAAACTGGAGATGAGATCTAAAGACTTCCTTAGGTTCAGGTTCAATATTTTGGAAAAGAATTTTTTTTAAAAAAATATATTTTTATTGATTTCAGAGAGAGGAAAAGAGAGGGGGAGAGAGAAAGAGAGAAACATCAATGATGAAGAGAGTCATTGATCGGCTGCCTCCTGCACGCCCCTGACTGGGGATCAAGCCCGCAACCCGGGCATGTGCCCTGACTGGGAATCGAACCACAATCTCCTGGATCCTAGGTCGATGCTCAACCACTGAGCAATGCCCAGCCGGGTGGAAAATAACTTTTGTTAGGTGTTCTTCACATTGCATTACATCAGGGCCACGTAATGTCTGGTAGTCTGATTGATTGATTGATTTTAGAGAGAGGGCAACGAAGAAAGAGGAAGAAAGAAGAGAGAGAGAAACATGGGTTTGTTGTCCCACTTATTTATGCATTCACTGGTTGATTCTTATATGTGCCCTGACTGGGGATTGACCCCGCGACCTTGGTGTATTGGGATGACACTCTAACTAACTGAGCTACCTGGCCAGGGCCTGATTCAGTGTTCTTGAAGTTGTTGGAGGAGGCTAAGCCTGAAGGGACCTAGGCAGCCACCTGCCTATGGAACTGGAAGCTGAGTTCTGACTGGGTTGCAGCCTTTGTGGCAGGTGGCCTGTGCAGGCACAGAGAAGACTGAGGTGGCACTCAGAGAAGCTCAGCTTGATGTTGGCAGTTTCGATTGGCTCAGTCCTTGGGCAGGATTAAGCAGAGAGTCTTGAGACACAGATACCACATAGGCAGTGGTAGCTCCCTTCAAACCTGCTGTGTGTGTACCTTGCAGGAATGAGGAGACTAACCAGGCAGAGTTCCTCAGGGTTGGGGGTAGAACCATTCCAGGACCTGGTCACCTTGTCCTGCATTTTCCTCTTGTGGAGAACACGAAGGCCTCCTTTTCAGCTCCAGGCCCTTTGTTGGTGGGCCAGGGTTGATGTGGCTCAGAGAAAATTCCTGATTCTACTAGTTCAGTTTTTCTTGTTCTCTGGCTTCCAGTTCCTGCCTTGAAATAGCATTTGATTGCTCTTAAACTTTAGAATGTCAGTGCTAGAAGGAACCTTGTGGATCATGGGCACTAGCTCCTTCACTGAAGAATTCCCATTGTCCCTCATTCTTCCTTAGAAATAGCTGCATGTAGGATGGTGAAACCAGGATGGTACAGTGTATTTCCCCAGACTTTAATCATTCACATTCCACCTTCATAATTTTTTTTAAAGAAAAGTTTATTGATTTTTTAGAGAGAGAGGAAGGGAGAGTGAGAGAGAGAAACATCATAGCATCAATTGACTGCCTCCTGCAAGTCCTACCTGGGATCCAGCCCCCAACCTGGGTATGTGCCCTGACCCAGAATCCAACCAGCAACCTTTAGGTGCATGGGATGATGCCCAACCAACTGAGCCGCACTGGCCAGGGCTCCACCTTCATAATTTTTATTGTTTTGTTTTGTTTTGTTTTTTTTAAATGTCTTTATTGGTTTCAGAGAGAGAAAGGGAGAGGGAGAAAGAGAGTTGAAACATCAATGATGAGAGAGTCGTCATTGATCGACTGTCCCCTGCACGCCCCTGACTGGGGATCGAGCCCGAAACCTGGGCATGTGCCCTGACCAGGAATCATACTGCGATCTCCTGGATCCTAGGTCAATGCTCTACTGCTGAGCCATGCCCGGCCGGTCCATAATTTTTACTGTTATCAGGTTTCCCTTGTTCCATAGTATTAATTTTTTATCCTAACAATAGCATCTGTGAAATGATTGGTTGATAGTAGTTCAAATTCCTTCTAAAATTCATTAAGAGAACACATACAGAAATGTTCAGATTCCACTAGTGGTAAGTGCCTCACACTTTGGGAAATGCTGGAGTAGAACTGGTGACAGGGAGTCCCACTAACTTTGCCTTGAGACCTTGATTGGGCACACTTCTCAAGTGCTTAATTTATTTCCTAAATCAGTTAGAAAGAGATACTGTAATATCCACAGATATTAGTTACTAGTCTAGTGAGTGACTAAGGTAAGCTCTTCCTGGAAGACTTCCAGGGACCTTTGTGCAGGCACCTCTGATCACCTGCAGTGGGGGGGAGGGGAGAGCAGAAAGAAGGAAGGCCTTGGTAAAGGTGACCCCTAAGCTGGGCATCAGTGTTAGGGAAGCTGTGGGAAAACCCCTCTTGGAGGCAGAAGTCTGTGAAGCTCCTGTCCTCTCCCACTTTTCCCTGGCCACCCCAAGAAGGAATTAACATGGTGTTCCGGGCCTGTCCCCCACACGAACCACCCACTCACCCTGGGGACAGCGAAAACTCCCTGAAGAAAAGTCAGGTGTCAGGCCTTAACGAACCTCAGCTGGCTCCTCTGAGGTAGAGCAAAGCAGGAAGGAGGGGTTTGTGGTTGGGGAGAGCCAGATGGTCCACCCTACCCGGAAACTGGGGGTGGAGAGGCCCAGCCCAGCCCACGGCAGTTATCCAGATCTGGCTGAGTCTGAGAGGCCGACAAGCTCCACCCCATTCCCTTCTGGGCACCTCGTGGCCCAGGCAGGTTTGTTTATGAATCCAGCTCCCTCCTCCCCCAGCCCAGCCCAGCCCTCCACCAGCCTCCAAGGTAGCCCGGGTTCCTGTTCTGTGGGACAGGGAAACCGGCCGGGGCTGGCCCCCCTTCCCTTCCTTTCCGGTCGTCCAGCTTCTGTGGATGCCGGCTAAGGGCAAGTCCTTTTTCCAGACCTGTTGAGCCTGTTGGGGGTCATCCTCTTTTCTGGACATGGGGAAGGTAGGGATGGTGTAACTCCTCAACTCTGGACTCTGGAGGGGACTCGGGGCTAATTGTCTCATGAGAGGAAAGAGAAAAAGAAACTGCTTCATTTTTGGTTAAAAGGCTAATAACTTTTTTTAATCCTTTACTGTACCCCAGTCATTCCTGGGATGCAGAAGTCTAGTTGGGGTGGGTAACTGGTAACAGTAAATTGGCATTAAACACTAGCTTCCTGCCAGGTCCCGTGAGCTTTTGGATCCCTGAGGAGCCCAAGGGATTTGGATATTTGGGGTGAGGGAAATGTTTTGATTATGTCTTTGTTTCAAGCTGGAGTCCCTAGGGGTCAGATTTAAATGTTCAGAAAAGCTCTCTGCTGTTCAGTTTGGGGTCCAGTTTCCTTTCTGAGCTCCTGGATGGAGTGCTGGGTGGGGAGCTGAGCCTGCTTCTCTAGTTCTCAAGAATGCAGATGGATTGTGGAATTTCAAGTCCCTCAGCAATTTCTTTTCCTCTTCCCCACCATGCCTCAAATCACCGCTGCTCATATTTGCCAAAGGATCTTCAAGCTCCAGAGACCATCAGCTGGGTGCACAGTCAGGCCTGTCTTCTCACAACCCTCTTCAGAAAAGAGAATATTCGAGAAGGTTGGGCCAGAGTTCAGCTCCCTCTTCAGAAAAGAGAATATTCGAGAAGGTTGGGCCAGAGTTCAGCTCTAACAATAACTAAATTGTATTCTTGACCATGCCTCCTAACTCTTAAGACAAAAACTCATTTTTTCCCCTCAGACTTTCCTCCTCCTCCAGGCCTTTAAGACCACCAGAACTACAGACTGGTTGCCACGCTGAGCTGAACAAAGGCCTTCCTAGTACAAGGTATAGTTTAGGCAAGGATGAGCCACAGTGCTTCTCAGATAAGGAAACAAAGACATAGCACAGGTACAGAATGAGTCATTTTAAATAATGATAATAATAATAATAGCTGCAGTCAGCCCTCCTGGCATGGCATCGACCTATGATCCAGGAGATCCTGGTTTCATTCCATCAGGGCACAAGCCTGGGTTGTGGGCTCAATCCCCAGCAGGCGCATGCAGAAGGCAGCCAATCAATGACTCTCTCGTCATTGATGTTTTTCTCTCTCTCTCTCCCTTCCTCTCTCTGAAATCAATAAACATATACTTAAAAAGCCAACCAAACAAAAAAAGGATAGCTGCAGCCAGTCCTGGATTTCTCATCAACAGGTATCTGGATTTCCCAAACAGAAAGAAACCTGATTTGTTACAGTTTGTTGTTGTTGTTTCTTGTCTTTCCAGGGTCCTAAAAAGACTGAAGGACGGACGTGTGTGATGATCCATCCAGCTTCTACAGACACCAGTGCACGGGGAAATGACATTAGACTGCATGATGTGAAACAGCTCGGCTTGTTTTCTTGTTCAGAGAGCTAGAATAAAGGTTTAGAACATTATCTTTTGAGACTTAACTTGCCAGGGACTCTTACTTTTTATTTTCTAAGCTCCTTTATCCTAGAGTAGGCAGGACAGGTAAAAGAAATGTCAGTCAGCCAATTTTGTATTTAGCTATAATTGAAAGCTTAATGAGAGGGAAGGTTACAATGACGGTGTAAAAAGAAGGCTTTGAATCATCTATTTCAATTTGTAAAATGTTACCAATTTACCGGATTGCTAGGTGGGAAATTGATGAAAGCTAAAGAGTGTTTTCAAAATCAGGAAGAATGATTAATTATTATTATTGGTCTCTAAACCGTTTATTTCTCGGGAGCAGGAGCTGGAGGTCTGTGGGAGCGAGGTGCAAAAATACTGTGGGCTGCAGGGCCTGGTGCAAGTGTGTCAGGGTGGTGTGGCCTTCAGGCAGAGGTGGAGCTGTTCCAGCCCACGTTGGCCCGGCTCTTGTCCCAGTAGTTGAGGTAAATCCTGTCTGGGCTGACACGCAGGCTCTAGGCCGGTGGGCCTCACAGCAGCTGGCTGTACAGCCAGTCTTGCTCATGCTGTGCAGGCTGCAGAGCTCACAAGGCTCACTTGAACCGCAGAAGTGCTGGTCCAGAATCACACGCACTGTGATGTACTAGGCTGGCTTGCGGGTGGCCTGCACCAGCTACTGGGTGTGCTAAGAGAGGAGCCCGTCAGGCACCTAGGGGCGACGCACCTTGATGTTCACCATGAACATCCAAACAATGGTGGAGGGACAGTGAGGACTGGGGTACAGGATCTGACCCAGGTGTGCTAACTGCAGCCTGGGAACCTCAGGAAGGATTATTTAACTTGTAAAAGGGAACCAGCTGAAGGCTGAGAATCAATCCTTAGCATTGTAATATCTGGAGACCTATTTAGGATGTTTAGGAACTACATCTTCTCCTTTCTCTTACTGTCAACTATATGGCAGGCCCTGAGGATACAAAGTGAAAACGCATCAGCTGGGCCCTCAGATTGCTTTGTCTAGTTGGAGATCAGATATTTAGATACCTCTAAATAGAGGTATATATAAAGAAAACAGTGGACAGAGTATTTAAGTCCTAAGGGAGGCAGGAAAGACTTCATAGAAGTTGTTCTTATAAAAAAAATAAGAGTAAAAGGAGGACAAGCTGAGTGAACTGTGATTCTGGACTTTGGAGACCCAAGAAGCATGCTTTTGGGAAAAACGTCAACAAAGTGAATTGTAAGAGAATGCAGTGGATAGAAATGAAAGATGAACCTGAATAAGAGCAAGTCAAACCACTAAGAGCCTTCACTACCACGCTGGAATGTTATCACTTACTAATGTGAAACTTACATATACAGCCAGGCATAATTCGTGTTTTATGAGTGGTTTTATTGTCAAACAATTCTCAAGTGATCCACATTGCTCTTAAACACAGTCTGTAGGAGTTAAGTGATTTGAGAGGCCTTGAAATCAGTTTATTCATTTTTGGTTTTGTATTTTGTGTTTAAAGAAAATTTGTTCAGGTTTTCACAAGTGAAATGGACAAGATGGATCATGTCCATTTGCTTTTGGGGACCATCAATAAGCATATGTTGAGGACATCCTTCACTGGCCAGGTTTTGAATTGTCTTGTCCTGGAGAAGCAGAGGGTATTGTGAAAAGGATGATGGCTCTTAAATTTCTGAGTCGAAATCTGTGCCTTTTCCTCAGTACCTGAAATAAAATCAAACCTAAGTTCCCATTTCAGGCATAGACTAGCTTAGAACCATGGAAAAAAACCAAACTTTGGAACTAAACAGAACTGTTATAATTTAACTGAAGGATCTGAGCCTCCGTTTTATCATCTGTAAAAGGGATGGCAGTTTCTTAAATTGGTTGAAAGGATTAAGTTAGACAATGTATGTGAAATGTTCAGACGACTGCTCCACAATGTTAGACAGCACACACATACCCCACCCCCCACCCTGCCTCCAAGTTTAGGTGTGGTCTTTTGCTGAATGCACTAAACAGCTGTTAGAATCCCCAGAGCTTGGTTTACAAAGATGAGTAATGCAGTTTCTTCCCTCTGGGGAATTTCTTCCCTTCTGGAAGTTTCTTCTCTCCAGTTTCTTCCCATAGTGTTTCTTAAAACTAGTTTAGGGACTAATCACTTTGAAATAGCTACTTAAAAACGAATACTCTCAAGTCCCACCCCAGAGAATCAGATTTATTAGGTATGAGATGGAGTCTAGGAATCTACCTCTTTAAATAGCAGCCCACAGGATTCTGATAGAGACCGTCCGACATAATATCTTGAGAAGCTTTGATCTAGGGAGCGATGCTGTTAATTATAATGTAATGTGATGTTTCATAATAAAGCTGTACAAGAGAATGATGCCGTTTGAACTGTCCTGGAAGTATGGGAAGGTTTTTTTTTTTTTTCAGGAGTTAGAAGGTGACACTACAAAAGCATTTAAACAAACACAAAAAGCAATAAAGGCTCAGACCTCTTCTCGGAGGCCATGGTGAAGGGCTTCCCTCGGTTGGGAGGAAAAAGCCAGAGGAGAAAAACGTCGAGGGAAGGAGGCAGGAAAAAATTTTTTTTTATTAAGCCCATTTTTATAAATGGTTATACAAGGTATTGCTTTATTCACTAAAGAATTAATGAAAGACTTTTTGTGGGACTATTCTGGGTTGGAATCTGGAACTACAACTCATTAGCTTTGTGACCTTGGGCAAGTTATTCCCAGCCTTTATTTCTTCACTTATAAAATACATAATATCTCTAATACTTACTAATATCTTCCTTATGAGGATGACACAAGGAATAAAAAAACGCCTAACTGACCTAGGCACCTAACACTCCATAATCACTTCATCATCTTCAGGCTCTGCCCAATGCAGCACAGGTCTGTTTCATGGGAATCCTTTTAAATATATCTTTATTGATTTCAGAGAGAGGAAAGAAGGAAAGAGAGACAAACATCAATGATGAGAGTCATTGATTAGCCCCCTCCTGCACACCCCTCACCAGGGATGGAGCCCCCAACCTGGGCATGTGCCCTGACCGGGAATCAAACCCTGATCACCTGGATCCTAGGTTGACGCTCAACCACTGAGCCATGCCCGGCTGGGCGGAATCCATACTTTAAAATAAAACATGACAACCTAACCTGGTTGGTGTGGCCTAGCAGTTAGTTGAGCACCAACCTAGGTTCAATTCCCGGTCAGGGGAGGTGATGGGTTGGGCTCCATCCCCAGTAAGAGGTGTGCAGGAGGCAGCAGATCAATGACTCTCATCATTGATGTTTCTCTCTCTCTCTCCCCCTTCCTCTCTGAAATCATGACATATTAAAACACACACACACACACACACAAAACCCCAACCAAACAAAAAATGACAACCTATCATGAAGTGATGAAATTGTAATTAATGAAGTGATAACATATAATATACAAGTGCTAAAGAGAATGACCTCATCATACCATTGACAAGTCACCCAGGCGACTCCACCAAAACTAGGATAAAGGAGAGGCAGAACAGGCTGCCAAAAATTCGGGTGCCTCGAGGAAAAACCTCCTTTAATCTTTGTAGTTGCAAAAGCAGGAATTATCTTGTTTTATGCACAAACGAAATTTACAATTGTGTGTGTGTGGCGGGGGAGAGGGTGGTTTATAGGACCTTGACTCTAGGAGGTTCTCCACTGCACTTTATCCTCTAAGACAAGCTCTTGAAAAGTTAAAAAGCCATAAATTAAGTGGTCAGCACCTTTGGGGAAAATCCTAAAAATGCTAGAGTCTCACAAGGACCTTGCAAATTGGTCAGTTCAGTAGTGACTGACGGTGTGAGCGCCCGCGCTAGGTAATCATCGCGCCTGCACCCTCACGGTTTACACCCACGTTCAGTGGCATCCGCCTGCCTCCCCGCCCAGCCTGGGAGGGGTGAGACTTGAGAAGTACTTTTAAGGATCCTTAAAGGAAGACTCAAACGAGCCCCGGTGGAGAGTCATAAGTGCGCGTCTAGTTTCCTGGCCTTGACACTTGTCTAGCTGAGGGGCTCCGCTGAAGCCTACCACCTAGTCACTATAAAGGCGTCCTCTGAGAAGGGCCAAAATGGCGACGGACTCCTCTTGGCACAGCCCAGTTCCACCCCCCGTAGCAAGCAGTTTTAGTAATGCCCATTGGCCAAGATGGAGGGGTGCCTGGCTTCCTCCTCCTCCTCATTGGACTGAGTTACTTATGGGGCCGCCAATTCTCCTCGGCCTACTTCAAGTTCCTGCCCTCAGAGTTCATTCGGCGTTTAATTGGCTTTTAGTTCCCGTCAATTTGCGTCTTGTCTTGTCTTTTTTCAGCATTAACCCAATCATAACTTTCCTGGATGCCCGCCTGATTTCTGATTGGTTTTGATCAGCTTCATCCTATCCCATTCCCGGTTACTTCTTAACTCTCCTCCCACCAGAACTTTGCTCAGGCACGTCCTGGGTTTTGGTTGGTCGTTGTTCTGTCATTCAAATCAAAGCTCTTCCTATCCCTACCTCTCAGGGAGCCCGCCTGGCAGTTGACTGGTTTCATTCCAAGCCTATCATTTCTAGATCCCGCCCATTTTCACTTCCTGCGTCTTTCATTGGGTTTTAAAACTGAGGAGGCGGCCTTTTAAGGCGGACACCAGACACGCAACTTTGTCTTACACGCCTTAGCGAACAAGCGAGTCTTGCCATTGGATTACCTGACCGCCTTTCTTCTGCAAGTCCCTCCTTTCTCCCTCCCTCATTGGGCGGGGCAGCAGAGAAGGGGTGGGGCCTAGGCCGGGCTAGTGGCGCGCTGTTCCCTCCTCCTTACCCCCCCCTCCCTGTCCGGTCCTGGTTCGCTTGCCTCGTCAGCGTCCGCGTTTTTCCCGGCCCCCC